TTTTTCCCCCATTTTCTTTTGCATGAGATTTTTCAACTGTTCTTATACGTTCTTTCAATGCTGATTTCAAATCTGAAATCAATTTTTGTGTACATGCTATAGTTATCTTTCAATTTCCGACTTTTGCCGATATGTCATATTTACACTGGGGATAAGTGGACACTGACACGTTGATCTACCATGGTAATTATTGTTTTGCAAACTTATTTTTTCTTTATTTTTACAGTTTTGTAACCTAAATATTTGTATTTTTCAGATCGGACCATGGCTTCTTCAAGTAGACAAAAATGTGTAAACAAGTCTGATGCCTTTTTTTATGTATGCGGCTGCTAAGGACTTCCTCGTCAAAGATACAATATGGGGGGAAAGAAGTGGGGGGGAGGGAAGCATGCCCATGGTTTACTGGAGCAAGAGTGTGATGATGCCAGAAAAAGCACAGCATGTGGACCTAAGCTGTGTGTGCTGAGTTTCAGTTTTCTGAGTCATATGGAAAGATCTGAACCACTTTGGAGGCCGACTTTGAGTATCCTGCTTTGAAGAAGAGGTACAACAATGTTTCATTCTCAGATTTATCCACTAAGCAGGATGTCCTGAGCTACATGTAGCCACATGTCATTGTTCTAGCTCATTAGGAAGTATCCTAACTGTTTCAATATCCCAGGCCAGCTGGCCTAAGTGTTTTGGAGTTTAGGATTAGTCCAGAGTCCTTCTATTCTAGGTCCATAAGTGACTCATGAATGCATTTAATAATAATAATAATAAAAAATTTTATTTATATCCCGCCCTCCCCAGCCGAAGCCGGGCTCAGGGCGGCTAACAACACTAAAACAGCGCAACATTATAAAACATTATAAAAATTAATTAAAATACAAATTGATGGCAACCATAAACTAAAGTTTTGTAAAGATTGCCAAAGGAGGGAGTCAGGCTGCGTCCTGACCAAAGGCCTGGTGGAACAGCTCTGTCTTGCAGGCCCTGCGGAAAGATGTCAAGTCCTGCAGGGCCCTGAACAATACATTTGACACCAAATGTGTTCATTTGTTCTGAACACATACTTCACTTAATTTTACTGAAGGCTATAAGCCTTATTCGTGGCAAAATTCCTCCATGTTTAAAGAGTAAAAAAATTAAGTAGATCTAACATAAGGGAACATGGCATAAAGCATATCAGTTGTTTGTTTTTAAACCCAGACAGCAGCTTGCTACTCATAATTAATGGTATAAGATATGAAGTTCCCTGTTCCCTAAAATGTTGTTAGGAGACTAGCTCTGCCCCAGCTCCTGCCAACCTAGCGGTTCGAAGGCACGCCAGTGCAGTAGATAAATAGGTAGCGCTGTGGCGGGAAGGTAAACAGCATTTCTGTGCACTCTGATTACAGTCATGGTGTTCTGTTGTGCTATAAGTAGTTTAGTCATGCTGGCCACATGACCCGGAAAGCTGTCTGTGGACAAACGCTGGTTCCCTTGGCCTGAAAGCAAGATGAGCACCACAACCCCATAGTCGCCTTTGACTGGACTTAACTGTCCAGGGGTCCTTTACCTTTACCTTTTTTATTACAACATGGGCTCCCTCATTATGGGCAGTGGTGGTATCTCAGGACATTATGGCGTCCTAAGAGAGGGCAAAATTTGATTACCACCCCCCATGGGTATAGCCAGGATTTTTGTTGGAGGGCAGTCTTTTGTTAGGGGGGCAGAACCTCAGATTTGTATTGGTTTTTATTAAGGGGGGCAGCTGGCCCCTGGCCACGCCCATGCCCCCCCAAAATATTGAGTAGGTACCCATATACCCACTGCCTTGAGGCACATCTCTGGGAGAAGAAAAGGCAAATGAGTAAACCCCATGCAAATCTGGAGTGGAGTCCCTGAAACGGTTGAGTGGTGCCTAGTACGCCTCCTTCTGGCAATGGCTGCAGCCAAGCTGGTGTCAAATGTATTGTTTTGCTTTCATTTTGACCACATCAGTGCAGCCTAGAGAGGGGGGTGTCTTGTCATTTGAGCAGCCCAGGGCCTCCATACATGGCTTGTGCCTTAGAGAGGTCACAACACAGGAGGCATCAGTTACAACTTACCCGTGTCTGCAGCCACAGCAGGCGCTGTGATTCTCCAGCAGTTTGACTTCATATCCAGAGGCACACTCCATTGTCTCTCAAGACAGATGGATGCCAACAACAACCTGTTGTTTTTATTATTATTAATTATTTATTGTTGTTGTTATTGTTATTATTTCATGCCCCTTGGCTCGGTGCCCTGTGCGGGGAAACTGCTCACACCACCCTAGATCTGGCATTACTTATGGGTATGATTTCCCCTTTACTTCGATGGTTGGCTTTAACCAGAGTTCAGCTTGATAGGTGTGCATTGACGCTAACCGCGTTATCCCAATATTGGTTCTTAACCAGGCTTTGCAAAGCTGCTTCAGAAATTGCACTCACAAACTCTGGGGGGTTACAAGGACAAGAATGGATAGCACCACTGCAAAGTTAACCGTGTCCCTTCTCCAAAGCATGCGCCCACACAGGGGTGGCCTGTCTCATTTCACCACCTAAGGCAAAATGGGAAGGTGCCACTTCTCCCTGGCCAAGCCTCAATTACCAGGGTTATGCAGCAGGGTCTCCTGGTGAGATCTCGCGAGAGTTCAGTGAGATCTCACAAGATCTTGTGGAAGCAGCAGCCACAGCTGTGTGGCCCTGGCGGTGGCAGCAGTAGCAGGTAGGGTGCCCATGGAGGCACCACCCCATTGGATTCTGCCTCCCGATGTGGGAAGCTGGCCCTAAGCCCAGCAAATATTCTTCATTTCCTACCTGACTTTAAGACACACTGGGAATATGTTTGCTTTAGATCCCTGAGCTACAGGATGTGCATAGACAGGAGGCCTGGGCAGAGAATTGTGCGGGATTTTATCTTTTTGCACCGGGATTTGAGAATACAGCATAACAAAAGAAATAGAAACCTGTCAGCTAAAATCTGTTTTGTAGGTCACAGGCTTTTTCAGGCCCTTTATAAGCCTACGATGAACCTCATACACTGAAGATGCTTTCTCATATTTCAACTTGCTAGTATTATTCCCTTTGTCTCAAGCAATTAGCTGTGTCAGTGCAACTACTCCATGCTTTACACAACTTAATAAAGATAAAAGCAGTTTGTTTCTGGTGGCAAAGTCATGCCTCAGGATGACCACTGGATGGCAGAAGCACACAATTCTTTAAGCCACATAAAGATGGAAAGGAAAAAGCAAGTTTTGTGGTCACTTCTAACATCTGCAGCTATGGAATCAGCAGAACAGAATTAAGACGGATCCTCAAGCTAGTGAATACAACATTAATGTTATGAAGCTCATAATTATTATTGTATGTCAGTGTTACTACTACAAAACTAGATGCTACCAAAAAAAAAGCTGCTAAAAATTCTGTGCTCAGTGAATAAAACTATCTCCCCCGCCCCTCAACATTGTTCTCTCTTTAACAGCAACCTAACAGAGAAATTTTCTGGGACGCAGGTGGCACTGTGTTCTAAACCACAGAGCCTAGGGCTTGCCAATCAGAAGGTCGACGGTTTGAATCCCCGCAATGGGGTGAGCTCCCATTGCTTGGTCCCTGCTCCTGCCCACCTACCAGTTCGAAACCACGTCAAAGTGCAAGTAGATAAATAGATACCGCTTTGGCAGGAAGGTAAATGGTGTTTCCGTGTGCTGCTCTGGTTTGCCAGAAGTGACTTAGTCATGCTGGCCACATGACCTGGAAGCTGTACGCTGGCTCCCTCAGCTAGTAAAGCAAGATGAGCGCCACAACCCCAGAGTCGTCTGCGACTAAATCTAACGGTCAGGGGTCCCTTTACCTTTACTCATAGAGAAATTTAGCAGGTGAAACAGATATATAAAGTGATGGGGATTGGGGGGGGGGAGATTCACCTACTAAAGTTCATGATACAGAGCCAGTTTAACCATAGGGGTGTGTCTGCCTAGGGAATCTAAGTTTTTAGTGCAGCTGCATCTGAAGGGCAATAAAATTCAAAAGGCACCAAACAATGGTGCTGGTGTTGCAAGGAGGAGTCAGCAACGGCCAGTTCCAGCAGTCTGCATTTTCCAGAATGCAGTCAATGACACCATTTTATCCCAATGGAACAAAACCTCCTAAATGGGTCTTAGAGACACAGTGGCACCTGCTTCAGAGCTCTCCTGAGAGCCAAAGAGGCCTGCAGCAGTGGTAGTGATGAAGCTGGTGTGGAACCAGTTACCATTTTCCAACATGCTGCCATGCCAACATATTGTTGGGACACAGCAAGGAGGCAATGGTTTTGATGGAAGTTGTACTCTGAAATCACTTGAAGGCAAGCTTCTTGGAAGTACCTGAGAAACTCCTCTGATAACAGCAACAAACCTCCAAGTGTCAACATGAAGAATCATAATGGGCAGCAAACTGATTTCCTAATCAGTTTTCCTCCCTCTCCTTTCTTGCAGAGGAAGCCCATTCCCTTTTCCAGATGAAGAAAGGATGCTTAGGATTGCACCTCCTCACAGTGGAGAAGGTTTCAGCTGCCTGGGGCCTGATCCTGCCTTTTTCTTGCTTGTGTGAAGCATGGACGGCTCACTAGACTGGTTGTCTTGCAAAACCTCTGGAACTCAGTGAGACTTGCTTATATGTGCTTAGGCAGGTGCAGCCAGTGATCACGGTCTGGTCAGTCTAGCAGAACTTTTGAGGGGCAGAGGAGACAGCTGTGAGCCACCCCTGCAGGAGAGGAGGCCACCCCTCACACAGGCTCTCTTACACCAGGGCCAGCTACAGCTTCTCTCCCTTTGCTTCAGTGTGTTGGGGAAATTGCGCAACACCCCCCCCCCCTTCAAGTTGCCACCAGTCTGCCTCGGTTTGTGTTTCTTTCGGAGGGAGGGGGCAGACTCAGTACCTTTCTCTCAGTGCCAATTACAAGTCTTCGAGAACGCAGTACCAGTAGCCAGCATCTTGCAAACCCACACACAATTAAGAAAAACGCTGTTTACTTACCCAGCCAACTTCTGTTTAAATACACTGAAACGAACACTGGAGGGACTGTGAAGAAATCTACCACCGAGTTTACTTCCAGCCAGAACCATAGCTTGTCGTTGGCTGCTATGAACTGGGGAGGGAAATGAAGAGGATAAGGATACTGGTTCTTGTAGGGGGGTGGGGGGTGGGGATTCCTTATGAAAGATACAACAGATTTTCTGTTTGTCCCTTGGAAATAATTAAGGCATTGTTTTGTGACCTCTAATTAAAATACACCTGCTTATTCATTTTAATTCATTAATTAATTGACTAATTCATTTAAAAAATGTTTTAAACCTGTTTTTTAAGGGTGCACTCTTCCCACCTGAAGAACCCTTTGTAAAATACATTTTCATGTGAAATACATGAAGATACAATTGCAAACACGCACACAAAAACCCCCAGCAGCGAAAGGTTACCCCCCCCCATGCAACTGTATGATCTGTTGTCTGTGGCAAGGGGCTCGCCCTCACCCTGACTATTGGGTGGACTGGCCCTGTCTGGTGCCTTTAGACCCCCACCCCTCTATCCTTGGGTTGAAAGTGAAAACTGGTTTGGATTTTTGGTCCAATGCAAACAAACAAAAACCACCCTTTGGGGGTACTACTTAAATCGCCTTCTCACATTTTACTCCAGTTCAAATTCAGTGCTCAGTTGAACATGGAAGCCTTTACACTCCATTGGCTTGCAATTTTTAAATGTTTAAAAGCTAACAAAATAAAATGGTTAAAATTGCATTCTTCACATGAAATAAGAGTTGAGCTGAGCACCAACTCTTTACTGCTCAGGACCACAGAACCTCAGAGACCACCTCTCTTCATATGAGCCTACCCGGATCCTGTGATCGTCAGCTGAGGCCCTTCTTCGTGTGCCTCCTCCGTGAGAGGTCTGGAAGGTGGCAACACGAAAATGGGCCTTTTCTGCAATGGCTCTCCACTTGTGGAATGTTCTGCCCAGGGAGGCTCACTCCACACCTTCATTATACACCTTTAAGCGCCAGGGACCAGGCCTTTGGCTGACTAACATCCTATATCCTTTTAAATGTGTTTGTGGGAGTGGTAGGGGGTTATTGGTTTGCTTTGTTTTTGTTCTTATTTTTATTATGTACTTTGTGTTTTTGTCTTGTTTTTGTGTATGTGTGAATCGCCCTGAAATCTACAGATGCAGGGTGGTATAAATATGTTAATGACAATGATAATAATAATATGCTTTGACAAATATCTGTTACACCAAAAGGAATGGGTGGGGCAGGGTGGGTGGGTGGGTGGATGGGGAGAATGTATCAAGAAACCAGGCAGCTCCCTATCCAGACAATGGGATTAATTTGTCTACTCTGTAGCAGGTGCCACCAACCCATAAAGGCTTTCAATGGTTCCCCTGGGAAGGTGCCCTGGACTCTGAGCTTTCATGGGGGGGGGGAGTTTCCAGCCCACCTAGGAAGAAAGTTATGGGACAAAATGTGCAGGTACCTTCTAAATGTGAAGTGAGAGTAAGTGTGGTGTGTCCACCTGGTATATTTTTTCCCTAGTACTGAAGAATGCTCCCTGTTGCTATTAGCTGATGCTGGAAAGCACTGGCGGAGGAAGAAGAGTGCAGGGGGAGCGCACCGCCCCCGACAGTGCAATCCCCAGGGTGCAATTGTGGCTGCCCCCCTGCAGGCGGTGCGCCCCGCCCCTGGAACGTGCGCCAGCCCCGCCTCCCTGCTCTCCGCCCCCGGTGCTGGAGCATGAAGCTCCACCACTGCTGGAAAGTGGAGACACAAAGGCTTGTTTCACTTTGTTGCAGGCTTAGGGCCTCCCAGGAAACCCAATGCGGGGGATAAGAGCTCTTGGGAATGTTAGTGCAGTGAGCCTCTCCATCCCATGCTCTGGTTGTAGATATGTGTAAACAAAACCATGCTGTATCACCGTTGTATTCATAGACATTCATTCCAAGGAAGCAAACTCTGGAATCTCAGGAGTATCCTGCTGCTATGAGATTGTGGTGCGTGCAGCAAGCACCTTTGAGAAGTTTTTAATGTTCAATGTTTTATTTTGGTTTTATATGTGTTGCAAGCTGCTCAGAGCGGCTGGGGCAATGCAGCCAGATGGGCAGGGTATAAATTATCATTCTTATAAGCGACTGATGGTGGATGGAGCAAGATCTGCCACAAACACAGTGTGTGTGTGTGTGTGTGTGTGTGTGTGTGAGAGAGAGAGAGAGAGAGAGAGAGAGAGAGAGAGAGAGCACTGCTGTTGCACAGTAAATCCATAAACCTCTTTATCATGGAACAAAGGTTTATTGAAGCAATTCCTGTTCCCAACACGGCTAGAGAAAAGTCTCCCCATTCAAGGGCAGTAGCCTATTTTATTTTATTTTATTTTTTAAAACCTTTATGGATGTGGTACGGTGGTACCTTGGTTTTCGAACATAATGCATTTGGAAGACCGTTTGACTTCCGAAACGTTCGAAAACCGAAGCATTCACTTCCAGAAGCATTTACTTACGGAAAACTCAATATGGAAGCCGTGTGGCACATTCAAACGAAAAGCTTTTGAAAACCGAAGCAGTTACTTATGGGTTTTCGCGTTCGGAAACCAAAAGGTTCGACGTTCAAAAACCGAGGTACCACTGTATTTTAGTTTGACAAACTTGGCTTCCCAAATATAAACAAAAAATAAAAAACAAACCCACCTACCACACATGAAAACCAATTTACTCAAAAGGTACTGGCAACTATGATGGCCTTCGTACCCTTTTGTGCATCCATAGCAGTATGTTGCTGCTTGACACTTTTAGGCCGCTGGCTCCCCCCCCCCCCCGGTTATCCCCACAAGTGCCTCTTGGGGGAAAAACACTGTGGCACCTCATCCTCCCCTCAAGCCAAGCAATATGGAGATTTGCACTTACCCGCAAGCCGAAGTAGAGCAGGAAGAACACGTTGAAAGCCATGTCTATCTGTAACGTGAAATCTTTGTAGAAATTCTGGCAAGATTCTATTGGGCTATTTGAGAAAAGAAAAAAAGACCAGAGTAAACTAGAGGGAATGAAGTTTGCATATCAGAAGTATGGCAAAAGTAACGTCAGCTGGCCACTGTTATCATTTCGATTAGAGAATGGACAGGATTCAGTCATTATACGCTGCTTCTGGCTCTTCCATTATTTCTAAAGCACGCAGGCATTGAAAGAAATAATAATATTTGGAACATTGTTTTTGTATTGTCAGCCATTCTTACTGTTCACCTGTTAGTTGCAACAGGTGAGCAGAAACATGCAGGCACTTTTAAGGAATGACAAGCAGGAAAATCTCTTAGGATTCCTCAATCCCTCATTAACCCTTAAAGAACTGGCTTCTTTCTACCGGGTACATAAAGCTATAACAGTTCAATCATCAAATTTGGGTTGCCAACTTTTTAGCAGGTCTTGTTCCTCTGCCTGTTACAGCAGGTGGCTCTGCAGGCAACAGTAGGTGCCTATGCATGCAAAAAGCTTCATCTGCTAATTCCTGCAGATTCAGCTGCTGCTAAAGGTACAAGAGCATGCCATCCCCGCCCCCGCATTAGCTGGCAACCCAAAATCTAGCAAACTTGATTTCATTATAAAAAGTTTTGTGTATTTTGGATGAAACATCATCTTGTAAATCAGTAACACCAACAATTTCAGAAAGTTTTCTAAAAAGAGACCCCACCAAATTAAGGCCATCTTATATTACGCACTCCCCTTTCTGGTTAATGTAATATAAAAAGAGTTGCTTATGGATATTAGCAACTTGGGGGAGATACTTGTTTGCTTCTTTACAAATACAGTACCATGAATCTAGTAGAAAGAAGAGCATAGCCCGCTGTTAGAATTAATGCAGACCAACATAAATTAAAGGAGTAGAAGCAGGACTCTAAGGGTTAATTTTCACATGCAGATTTCAGATTCCCCTCTCTTTCTCAGGCAGCCTTGCAAAATCTAGTTTTGCTTTTTTTAAAAGGGGCACATCCAACTCTCTAGCATACTCTATACAAACTGGTACTGTGGCATGCTTCAATAAAACAGATTGCAGCAAATTGAAAAATATGCGTGTGTGTGTGTGTGTGTGTGTGTGTGTGTGTGTTGTGATTTATTCGTGATGGTCCTATGAGATGGTTGGAAAGACTGCAGATCACAGTCCCCAGGTTAAGTAGCATGTCCCAAGATTTGTGACAAGTTATCATTCAGTCAGCATAACCATACAGAGGTCAGGAATGATGCTTAGAAGTTACTTAATTCTGGGAAGGAGATGTAAAAAATACACGCTTGAGGTAACGGGAAGGAAAATGACAATTACGGAGAAATTCCATGACTCTTCTTTTTACAAATAAATCACTACATATATCATACCAGTTAGTATAGCGCTACATCTGAAGGTGCAAGGCTAAATTGCTAAACAAGCAAGGTTCTGTGCATTCTGAATGTTGCTAACCTAACTGAAGGCAGGGAAGGAAATTAGCTGGATTTTGAGGGTATTACACATGCAGCCAGGTTCCCATTTACTTGCAAACATCGCAGCTCAAACAAGTCCGATAATAGCGTGTCCCCGCTTTATCCTCAGGCATGTTTATAGTTGCCAACATTTCCCTGAAGGGCAGTGACGCACAGTTCTAAGAAGACTTGGTAGCAACCAACGCCATATTCACAGTGTTTTGAAATACCACTTGCAAATGTTGCATCAAAATAATTAAACACGCAAGTCTTATAGAAAGAGTGTCAATTGCAATAAATAAAGGACAAAACGGTATATTTGTGGTATTGTTGTTAGTATCTCACATTGTCTTGGTAGCAAAGCAACCGAAAATAAATCTTGCTTTAATACATTAGAGAAAATTGAGGAAACCAGAACAGGGGAAAACTTCTGCTTTCAGTCCACACACACTTTTCCCGGAGTATGCAGAATGAGAGTCAGGCATCTCACCCACTTCCAGATCCTCCAAGTATCTGAAAACCATGGACCTGGCAAGGGATGAAATGTGCAAGCTCCCACATTGTCATTGTAACAGAAATGGGAAAAGCAGAAGTGTGAGACATTAATGCATCTGCTTTGTAAGCTTCTTCTGAAGTCCACGAAGCAACCCTTCCAACAGAAGCTTCTCCAATGCAAAAACTAGTAAGGAGATGAGTTCTAGCTAGCCTCCTTTCAGATATGTGTGGGGAATTGTCAATGAAGATGATTCAGACATGTTTTCCCCTCCCCTGCAGTCTAAAGTGCCCCAGTATTGTAGTCCAATATTGTGCAGTCTAAAATGGTATACTACTAGTAGTCCAAGATTGTCAGAGACACTGGGTAGGGGCTTATTTTCACATACTGATTTCATTCCAGACAATCATCATCACAGAAATCTGCAGCCAACCGAAGGTAAACAGACAACACATGAAAAAGCACAGTTGTATGGAACCATTCTGCAAAGGACTAGTTGCAGTGGAAATAACTATTGTCAAGTTCCCAGACTATGGGCTGAATCCAGACTGAGAGTTAGAGTCCACTGAATTCAATGGGGTTTAGGCATAACTACCAGTCTGGATCCAGCCCTGTGTTTACGAAGTGATAGTCGAGATTATCACACGGCAAGAGTGGATAGTGAAATGGCTGCCATGGGCCATCACTCTCTCTTTTCCCTTCAGGAAATTACATGGCAATGAGGGTGGAGTAATGAGCCTTCCATACATTTCCTCTAAAAAAACCAAAACACTAATTGTACATATTTACCATGACAAGTGCAGAGTTACAGCAAACCCCTGACGTGGGATTGCTGTTACACAAAGCTAAGCTGTGACACCACAAATACGATCATCGCATACCAAACACCTCTTAAACACAAGCTTAGCCTTTAAGATCCTGACAGTAGGTTGCTTCACCTCAGTACAGATATTGTAGAGTTGGAAAAGGTCGAGGGGGTGTAGTGGCTCCCCCCACGAGAAAAGGTTACAGTACCTGTAACTTCTTAAGTTTAAAGAAAAGGCGGATATGGTGTGACATGCTAGAAGTTTATAAAACTATGCATCCCTCTTCCACAGCACTAGAACTTGTGCACATCCAATAAAGATGAATGCTGGGAGATTTAGGGCAGTTAAAAGAAAATACTTATTTACACAGTGCATAGTCGAAAACTATGGAGCTCGCTCGCCCAGGAGGCAGTGGAGGCAACCAACTTGGATGGCTTCGAAAGAAGATTGGGCAAATTGATGTTCTATCTACAGTTGGGGGAAGGAATGCTTCTGAATAGCAGTTTCTGGAAACCACAGGAGGGCAGTGCGCTCTTGTGCTCTCGTTCTGCTCCCTGGTTTCTCACAGGCAGCTGAGGACAGAATGCTGAATGAATAGCAGAATTTAAAAAATATGTATTTTTGTTTCGTTTTGTTCCACTTTAGGCCAATTCAGCTACATCAATCGATCACTTTTCCTTCTATCCCACCCTGCCCAACTCATAACATGAATAACCCAGAATAAGTTGTTCATTTATGCATCAACAGGGCTATTAAATGAACCACAGTATCCCAGACAAGATGCACAAAACAGAAGGCCCTATACAGCGGTTTTCTGTAGTTTCTTCCTGCTGTCCTACAAACTTGCTGGGAATTAATTAGCAGTGCGCTGGGGAAGTCTTGAAAACCTCTACAGCATTCCAATTAACAATTAGTGCTGACTGGGCGGGTTGTCATTAAAACTTAAATGAAACATGAAAATTGGGGCGACTGCAGAAGGTGGCATTGATAAACAGCAAATGCGAAAGAAGGAGAAGCTTCTTTCACTGATATATCACCAGCACATTAATATATAATCAAGAGAAAGATTAACTGCAAATGGAAGCCCAAATGGTTTTGTCCGCATAGATGCCTGAAATTCAAAGACATATACATGTATGACCAGTTAACACCGTGGTATGAGATGCCACACAGGCATAACCAGATCAAACGCAAGTCAGTGCCTGGCCGAGGGCGTGGGCGCCAGCCAGGTGAGTGGGAGGCAGGGGGCAAACGCCCCCTGCTTGAGGCGGAGTCCGGCTCCCGGCCACAACCACTCCCCTCTCTTGCAGGGAGGAGAGTCTTTGCCAGTGGATTGTTTCTGTCTGAACAGTCTTAACGCCAGTTGGCTCAGCAGTTAATGTTAATTGCTACAAACAGGCAAAGAACATACATGTTTTATCTATTTTACTTCTACATGGGCTTCAAAGCCATATATTTTAACTGGAGGGCAGGTGTGGAGCAGGTGTTGGGAGAGCAGCTGTTCAGGCTAGGTGTTTTTTTAACTGATAAGAAATGCTTAGAAGACCATATTGACTGAATATGGATACTCTGAAGTTTTAACATGGTTACTACATAAGCACAAACCTGCAGTGCCTTAGATAAAGCATCCAGAACTCCTTTGCCATATTTCGTCCAGAAATCTATGCTGGGGCACAGCCTTAGACTACAGCCCTTTTTTGGTGGTGGTGGGGAATAGTGCTGTGAAATCATACAAGATCATGGTAATCAAAATGACTGCCTTTCTCTCCCTCTCTCTACCCCCCCCCCCAATTTTGGATGTCCCAGTTTTCCCAGGACACTTGTGGGGTATGTGTTTTGACCTTGAAGAACAGTTAGCTAAGGTATTAGCTCTTCTGAACAGAATCCTGAAGGGACCTGCAACTAATTAGAAACACCAAATTCCCCCCTTGGTAGCCACTCTTGAGAACAAAGCATAACAGAAGCAGTTTTGCTGCCTGCAGCTGCGCCCATGCCCTTGTAAGCAGCAATATCTGTGAAGAGCAACAAATCGAAGCACAGTAAAACAAGGTATGCCTGTATTATGGAGGTATGGTTTGTATTACTTTATTAATAGTATCGCTTAACATATGTTTGTCATGGTCTTTGGCTACAATAAATTTATGAGTAGCAGCAGCAGCAGAAACAGCAGTAGCAGCAGTTTTACAAGCAGTATACAACAATAATGATAGCATAAATATATAATAAACCTCCAACATGCTTTTCCTTTTCATCACC